TTCTTTCTTTCTTTCTTTCTTTCTTTCTTTCTTTCTTTCTTTCTTTCCAACTAATCTTTCTTTCTTTCTTTCTTTCTTTCTTTCTTTCTTTCTTTCTTTCTTTCTTTCTTTCTTTCTTTCTATCTTTCTTTCTTTCTTTCTTTCTTTCTTTCTTTCTTTCTTTCTTTCTTTCTTTCTTTCTTTTTTTCTTTCTAACCAATCTATCTTTCTTTCCTTTCTAACTAATCTTTCTTTTTTTCTTTTTTCTTTCTAACTTATTTTTCTTTTCTTTCTTTCTTTCTTTCTTTCTTTCTTTCTTTCTTTCTTTCTTTCTTTCTTTCTTTCTTTCTTTCTTTCTTTCTACCTAATCTTTCTTTCTTTCTAACCTATCTATCTTTCATTCTAACTAATCTTTCTTTCTGTCTTTCTAAATTTTCTTTCTTTCTTTTTTCTATCTATCTATCTATCTATCTATCTATCTATCTATCTATCTATCTATCTATCTATCTATCTATCTATCTATCTTTCTTTCTTTCTTTCTTTCTTTCTTTCTTTCTTTCTTTCTTTCTTTCTTTCTTTCTTTCTTTCTTTCTTTCTTTCTTTCTTTCTTTCTTTCTTTCTAACCTTTCTTTCTAACAGAACAGAACCTGATTCTGAAAAGTTCAGAACAGAACTTTTTTTCAGAACCAGAACAGGCCTTTTTGTTGATTTTTGTTCAACATAACTTTCATTATGTTACACAATATTGTATATGTTTTAATCTACTAAATTAACCGTTTTTAATGTATGTAAGATGCTTCCTAAATGTTTTTACAGTACAGAGGAGTGGGGTGTAGTATTGTGAAGAAAATATTTTTTGTTTAGCTGTAATTTTTCCATGTCCATATATTATATTATATACTACACGCTGTGTGCTTGTATTATAAATATACAAATTGATTAAAATCAATAATAAATCCAAATTTATTCTTTGAAATGTGGGGTTTTATTTGTAAAAGTGGAGATAGAACCTTATAATTCCAAACAGAATCAGAGCTCTCAGAATTATAAGGTTCTATCTCCATTTGGACCATCTTAAAAAATCCCATTTCCAAATGTGCCAGGATTTTGATATTCTATCCTCAAAGTACCAGTAGGGTGATGGTCTTGTTGAGCTATAATATTAGATTATACTACATATCAGTTTTGCCAGCTGGGATATAAAAACTTTGATGCTCAATATCTCAGAACTACCCTAAACGGAGATAGAACCTTATAATTCTAAGCTCAATGATGGTAGAGTAACTGAGTCGCACGATAACTACGTTATTGCAAAGGCTCGTGAATCATCACTACGATACACCCCTTATACGGCATTGGTCCTGGCTTTTGTTCACACAGCGCGCGTTCCGGGTCTGAACACGGCAATGTTACTAGGTCCCCAACCCGGCATCGATCCCGGCATCAATCCCGGGTCGTGTTTGCATTCACACAAGCCTATTTCACACAGAGATTCCGGAAAATACACGGATAAAGTGACCCGGGATTTGACCCGGGTTCGTTTGATTTTGCTTCATTCACACTGCCAGTGATTTGGCGGAATCAGAGAGCGCGTTCAGACACAACCCGTGTATGTTCCGGAAAGACGCGTGACGTTGGATGTGACGGGTCTCTACTTCAGTCCAGTTTGCAGACATTTTTTTTTGTTCTTTCTTGTATCGATGACGAACACAAACTTTCTTCTAGAGTAACTGAGTCGCACGATAACTACGCCATTGCAAAGGCTCGTGAATCATCACTACGACACACCCCTTATACGGCATTGGTTCTGGCTTTTGTTCACACAGCACGCGTTCCGGGTCTGAACACGGCAATGTTACTAGGTCCCCAACCCGGCAGGTGGGACGTTTGCCATAATATTTTTAAAACAATAATATCTTAGTTAAACCCTTAAGTAATATTGACAGACTATATATCATTTGAAAGCTTACAATCTCTAGTTTCCATATTTGGTTTCCACTGATTTTCAAAATAAATTACAGAGGAGCCATAATTTATCAATTTGCTACAAGAATATTTTCATACTCCTAAGGCGTGTTCAGACCTTTATTTTGAAATAGCAATGAACATGAAAAATCATGAAAAAATGGTAGAAACCTCAGTTTGTTTTCATGCAAAAAGTTCAAAAGATAGCATTCATTCAATTATTTTAGAAAAAAAGGTCTGACGTGGCCAGATGTGGCCTGAATCCAGACTGAAACTTTTCATAGATGTCGTTTTCTTGCAAGAAAGAGCCGAGTTGAGCGGACACAACTTTTTCTAATATTTTTGACATGAATGGAAGATTTGAGATGGGTCTGTAATTTGCTAGGTTATTTGGATCTAATTGTGGTTTCTTAATAAGAGGTTTTATAACTGCCAGCTTGAACGTTCTTGGAACATGACCTAAAGATTAAGATGAGTTAATAATATTGAGAAGAGGCTCTTCTACTAGGTAACACTTCTTTCAATAGTTTAGTTGGTATAGGATCTAATAAACATGTTGTTGTTTTAGATGAAGTGATAAGTTTATTTAACTCTTTTTGTTCTATGGTTGTAAAGCATTGTAATTGTTCTTGCGGGGTGATAATTGCGGCTGAATTATAAGGCGCGAGCAAAGATTGAGCGTTTACGATTGTGATTCTGATGCTTTCAATCAGTGAAGAAGTTCATGAAATCATTACTACTAAACTGTAACGAGGTATTTTGTTCAGACGACGTCTGTTTATTTGTTAGTCTAGCCACGGTATTAAATAAAAACCTTGGATTATTTCGGTTGTTTTCTATTAGTTTGCTGAGGTGCTCAGCCCTGGCCGTTTTAAGGGCCTTTTTATAACGTGACATACTGTCTTTCCACGCGATTCTAAAGACCTCTAAATTAGTTTTTTTCCATTTACGCTCTAAATTACGGGTTTCTCTCTTTAAAACATACGTAGTATTATTGTACCATGGTGCTATACTTTTTTCTCTGACCTTTTTTAATCTAATGGGTGCAACAATATCCAATGTTCTAGAGAGAATGGAGCTCATAGTGCTAGTTAATTCATCTAGTTCATCTGTTTGTTTGGGTTCAGGCAGCAGCTGAGTCAGATCAGATAAGCTATTTGAGAAATGATTCATGGTGGATGGAAGAATTGTTCTACCTGGTCGATAACATGGCGCAGCATGACATATTACAGCAGTACGTAATATGCAAGTTACCATGTGATGGTCCGTGACATCATCACTTTGTGGAATGATATCTATATTGGTTGGATCGGTTCCATATGATATAATTAAATCGAGTGTATGATTAAGACGATGAGTTGGGTCCGGTGAAGTTTTGCTTGACCCCGAAGGAGTTTATTAAATCTGTGAACGCAGCCCCTAACGCGTCATTTGAATTATCTACGTGTATGTTAAAATCTCCAACAATTAATGCTTTATCGACGTTGACCAATAGATCTGATAAAAAGTCTGCAAACTCTTTTAGGAAATCGGGGTGTAAGGCCCTGGAGGTCTATATATGGTAGCCAATGCTAGAGATAATAGGGATTTTTTTCTTACATCTAAGAGCGTAACATTTAGCACAAGTACTTCAAATGAATTAAACCTATGACGAGTTTTCTGAGTGACATTAAGGATATCTCTGTAGATTGTTGCAACACCGCCGTCACGACCGATCAGATGGGGCTCATGCTTATAACAGTATCCTGGCGGAGTAGACTCATTTAGACCGAAATAATCATTTGGTTTAAGCCAGGTTTCAGTAAGGCACAGAACATCGAAATTATTATCTGTGACCATTTCATTTACAATAACCGCCTTAGGTGTGAGCGATCTAATGTTTAGAAGACCTAGCTTTAGAAATTGTTTTTGTTCACTAATAGCGAGATTTTTTGTTTTAATAACAATTAGATTTTTTCTTGATCCCGCGGTAGATTTATTATTTGATCTCAGTAAACGAGAAATAGACAGTTTCTATGCAATGTTCTACACTAGTATTAATATCAATTAAATTGGTGCAGTAGAGACTGTGATTTGGATTTTTGGTTACTAGTCAAACGGTATTAGGAGAAACTTGGCTTTTTCAAAAATTCTAATCAATCGAACCAATTGTGGTTCAAGAAAGCAATACACTGGTTTTACGCAGCACATTTGAGCTTCCTCGAGAACCAGTGATGTTCATTCTTGTGTAATGCAGCACTTTTTGAGTATCCAAAAGAACCAATGAGGTTCATTCTCGTGTTACACAGCATGTGTGAGCTTTAACAAAAACCAGAGCTTCAGCAAAAACGAATAAGGTTCATTCTCATGTATTATGCAGCACATTTGAGCTTCAGCAAGAACCAGTGAGATTCATTCTAAGCCCCTTTCACACAGAGATTCCGGAAAATATACGGATAATGTATCCCGGGATCATTTGTTTTTGGTTCATTCACACTGCCAGTGATCTTCCGGAATTTGTGAGTGCGTTCACACATCCCAGCAAAGACACGTGACATCAGGATGTGACGTGTAATATCTCCACAGCGTCTAAGTTTGCTTATCTGCGATTTCTCTCAAGAAACAAAGCTCATGCTTTTTTTTTTTATTCTGATTCGACCATAAACTAGCATATTGCATACCGTTCCACTAAGCTGACGAATTATCTCAGCGTCATCACTACGACACACCCTTTACACCATTGGTCCTTGCTTTTGTTCACACAAGGCGCGTTCCGGGACTGATTCCTGCATCAATCCCAGGAAATGTTTGTGTTCACACAGAAGGCACTCTAGCAATTGTATGGCAATTTCCCAGGATCAACACTGTGTGAAAGGGGTTCTAGTGTTACGCAGCACATTTGAGCTTTGGCAAGAACCAATGAGAACAAATTGACAGGTGATCCACCTGCCTCCCATAGAGGTTTTTCCCCTAAGACAATGGAAGGGAGATTTGTAGAAGTTACAACTGTCCTCAACATACCAAGTAAAACAAGAACGTCATGTTGGTAGCGTTGCACAAAATGTGGTCAGACAAGGTTAAGGTTTAATATCATTTATTAAATACTCATAGAATCAGTCTCACTTCTCCACTAGAAACCACAGTTTGGCCAGAAGTGGTAGCGTTTAAACGAACGTCCCTTCCTAAAAAGTGCAAGAAAACAAACAATTTAACACTCCCACAACTTTTAAAACACAAGCTAAATTAAACAGTTTAAATAACAGGAAGCACTGACTTTGCCTGGAGCAACTTTGCTGACAAGAGCCAGAAGAGGGATGGCACACCTCTGTACTGCAATGGATGAAGACCTGAGACGAGAACCAAAGCTGGCATTAGGAACCAAGAGACAGTTGAAAACTGACACACTGGGTACTGTACCGTTTCCTGCAGAGGAGCCAGTGATGCTGGATCTACAAATGTGAACATCTTCACAACAAAGCGCTTGTAGTGGGTTGGGAACTGAAGCCCAGATGATCCAGCCACTGGAACCAATGTGGTCAGGTAACGATCATCTTGGTAAGGGCATCTGAAAGGCAAAGAGGCAGTCAGAAACACCTTACTGCACACTAGATGGATAAAGACTGGCCTTACTCACCCATCAACCAGAAGGTCCCACTGGGGTAGACTGAGTGGACTAGGGGTTGATGTCGCCCAGCAATGTCCCAGCATCAAGACAATGTTGGGGTCAGTCCTCTCCAAAATGTGCACCTCAACATACACAGGTTCCCGCAAGACTTTTGTGACCGGATAATCAGCATCACTGTAGTAGGACGTGTACACCTCATCCCCTGAGGAAGAATACAGTGTTTAACTTGAAACTGCTGAAAACTGGAGTTTAAGAAAGGCTTTAGGCATACTTGGGACAAACACTTACCTTCTGCACAGCCTTTGGTGACACATTGACCATTTGCCAGTCTAAGCTCCACTCTGAGGGGTCCAGGAGCAGCTACTGGTGGAGGTGGAGGAACAGTGTTGACCTCCACAACCAGAGCTTCCACAGAAGTACCAGAGTACCTACACTGGAAGAGAAGCCTGGACAACAAACAGTGAGCTTGTAGCATTTGTCCAGGATTAACATTTATGATAAAGCATGCATCACTTACTCAAAATGGCTGTCCCTTGTGATGGAACCAAGTGGTCCCATACCCACTTCATACGAGGAGGTCATTCTGTTTTCATACACCACATATCCACTGTCCTCCTGCAAATAGTAACCGTTGGCATCCAGTCCATTCCAAGCCTTGCAGAACAAAACCACAAGCAGCTACTCACCATCATGCTTGTGCCACATGCAGTGACAGGGAACTGATATATAGCAAAGAAAGGTGTGGATTCCACAGGACTGCAAGCTGGATCATTTCCACCCAGGAGACGGACTGAATCCAGGCTCAATCGAGGCAGCGTAACATCTCTAGCCACCACTACCACAAACTGACCATCTCTTATACACTGGACAGTCACTGAAACAAGGTACAAGAGCAAGTTATTGCTGAAGATCAGTTTAACATGAACACCTTTACATTGACTCAACACTCTTACCTGCCTTCCCATAGTAACACTGCTGTCCGTTAAAGCAGCAGTTGATAGCTGCACACTCAGCACCACTGATACCAGGTGGTCCACATTGGATCTGCTCATAATCAGCGACAGTACATTTGTCAAGGGGCTCTGCCTGTGCCACTGGCTGCTTAGGCTGAAACTGCTGAGGAAACTGTTGACTACCTTGCTGTTGAACTGACTGAGGAAACGGTTGACTAGCTTGTTGAACTAGCTGAGGAAACCGTTGACTAGCTTGCTGTTGAACTGACTGAGGAAACTGCTGAGGAAACTGTTGACTAGCTTGCTGTTGAACTGACTGAGGAAACTGCGGAGAAAACTGTTGACTAGCTTGCTGTTGAACTGGTTGTTGAAACCGCTGGTCAGTTTGCTGGAACATCAGAGTTTGAGGATTCTGAGGAAGATTACTCCACTTTGGAACAGCATGACAGAAAGCACCGAACCAAACACAAAGTGCCAGACACTGAACAGCATACCAACTTCCTGCCATTGTTCAACAGCTAGTCACACTGTTGAGATGCTGCCCTTTGGTCTTTTTTGTAGTCTACAGATTTTGCCAAATTAATGATAATCCCTCCCTCTTCGTTAACAGTCATGATTCTCCAGACTTGTATGAGTGGGAGTTTATGCAACTGGGTGATTCCATTGTTTCATAAAAATAAAGTTATTCCTTGTTCTTTTCCACCCTTATTAAACATACATAAAATCCCATATTAGTGGATTTCGCTCTGGAGGTGGTCAAGTCAAGTCAAATATATTTATATAGCGCTTTTCACAATACAGATTGTATCAAAGCTGATTCACAGTATCAATCAAAACAACTTAACAGTGTTTGTTTATTACTGGAAAAAGACATCCAAGTTTGGTAGAGCTGATCAATGGTATGGTGGGTCATTTAATTTGAATATCCCCAACTAAGCAAGCCAAAGGCAACAGTGGCAAGGAAACGAAAAACTCCATCAAGTGACCTGATGGTGTCCTAAAACTCCATCAGATGACCCAATGGAGAGAAAAAAACCTTGGGAGAACCCAGGCTCAGTCGGGGCCAGTTCTTCTCTGGCGTTTATGAAGTAGAGGCCGAATGTACAGTAACTGTAAGATCAAAAATGTATATGAATGCCTGGCTAAATAGATGCTTCTTTAGTTTAGTTTTAAACTGGGAGAACGAGTTTGAGCAACGAACAATACCAGGAAGGCTATTCCAGAGCTTCGGAGCTAAATGTGAAAATGCTCTCCCTCCTTTGGTGGATTTTGATATCCTAGGAATGACCAGAAGCCTCGAATTGAGTGATCTTAAAGAGCGCGATGGATTATAGGGCGATAGAAGATCCGTTAAATAGACTGGAGATAAACCATTTAGAGCTTTATAAGTCAAGAGCAATACCTTGTAATTAATACGGAACTTTATAGGTAACCAATGAAGTGATGATAGAATCGGTGTTATATGATCATATTTTCTTGATCTAGTAAGAACTCTAGCGGCTGCATTTTGGACTAACTGTAGCTTGTTTATTGAAGCTTAGCAATGTTTCTAAGGTGGAAAAAGGCTGTTTTTGTAACATATGAAATATGCTTTTCAAAAGACAGGTTGCAGTCTAATGTAACACCCAGGTCTTTTACTGTAGCGGATAAAGTAACAGGGCATCCTAATATGTTAAAGTCGTGCTGTAAAAGGTTTTGTGGACGGTGTTTAGAACCGATAAGTATTACCTCTGTCTTGTCTGGATTTAATAAAAGAAAATTACGCGTCATCCAATCTTTTATATCTATAACACAATCTGTCAATTTGGATACTTTAGCATATTCATCTGGCCGTGATGAAATATATATTTGAGTGTCATCGGCATAACAATGGAAACTAATTCCATGTTTCCTTAGAATATTACCAAGTGGCAGCATATATATTGAGAATAATAAAGGGCCTAACACAGATCCCTGCGGCACTCCATAGTTTGCCGAAGTTATGATCGATTTTTCTCCATTTAAGTAGACGAAATGGTAGCGGTCAGATAAGTATATGACCTGAACCAGCTTAATGCTTGTCCTTGAACACCAGTGTAATTTTGTAGTCGATCTAAGAGTATTGTGTGATCTATAGTATCGAACGCAGCACTAAGATCAAGTAAAACTAGTACTGAGATACAGCCTTGGTCCGAAGCTAAAAGTAAATCATTTGTGATTCTAACAAGCGCAGTTTCAGTGCTATGATGTGGCCTGAATCCAGACTGAAACTTTTCATAGATGTCGTTTTCTTGCAAGAAAGAGCCGAGTTGAGCGGACACAACTTTTTCTAATATTTTTGACATGAATGGAAGATTTGAGATGGGTCTGTAATTTGCCAGGTTATTTGGATCTAGAATGTTTTAAATATAAAGAAAAAAATAATAAATTTACCATTTAGTGATGTGGCAGCGAGCTATAACGCACATGCGTGTTCTTTGTATGTTTATTAGTGGTTGAATTCATATAAAAATCTGCCAAACTTCCCATACTACTTCTGAATAGGATGTCTACTTCATAAATTGTATGAAAATTGTGGAAATAATGGTTCAGATCACTCAAAACACATATGGAAATAGAGGCGCCCTTATATGGGCAGTAATGGAGTCTGGTTGTGACCTCTAGTGAAAAAGTTTGGTACTGCGCCCAAACAAAATCTTACTGAAAGCTCATCAACCTAAACTTTTAAACACAACTTGTTCAGATTTTTGGCTTAGATTTTTCTGCAGTTTTAGAGTAGCCCAGGTTTTGAAAATATATATTTTATATAAAATATGAATAATTAATTTTTTTACATTGTACATTTTCATAAACTCAAACTTCTATAACTTTTTTCTGTTTCACTTTCTTAATTTATTTCACTTCTACAAAAATCTGCCAAATGTCTTTTTTAAAACAAGACCAATCTTACATCTATATTCCAAAGCATTCTTGAATTACAACCATTTAAGTTCGAAATGTGCATTTTCATGTATATTCAAAAAAAGGGGTGTTAAGGTTAAGGTCTCCACACAGCAGCACGTTTCCCTGTGCCTGGAAATGGCTGATTTCTGTGTGGATGTTGTTGAGATATTCCTCGTCGTGGTAAGGGGATTCCGCTGGGGGAAGTAGACAGAGATACGTGTCTGAAATGCCAATTTGGTTTAGTTTTAACCAGCAATGAAATTTTCCAACTGTAATAGTAGTAATGTGTTTGGCCAGATCCTCCCTGTACAGCACCAGAATTCCTCCCGAGTCTCGTCCACGATGGACTGTACTTATTTTAACTGAGGGCACAATTACTTCATAGTTGTCACGGTTTTCCCTGGTCCTGTCCCACACTACATTTCCCAGCATTCCCCCTGGATCCCCGCACCTGCACTCACTTTCCTCATCACCGCAGCTGTTCCCTTTCACCTCATGATCTCGCTATGCTGATCCTTTATAACCTCCTCACTCCCATTGTCTCACTGCCGGGTATTATATGTTACTTCATGTTTCTGTTTCCACGTGCTACTACTGTGTTCTGAAACACTGGCTCCAGAGGTTATCGGCGAGTGGCTTTGTGTTCCCTCACTCGGGGTAACTCCAGTGTCTAAGTGAGAGATCGTCATTTCTAACGGGGATATTCCCGTGTTGGCTATCCGTGTGATAGTGTGCCTCGGAGTGTTTCTACGTCTCTACGCTCGAGGTGATTTCTATGTTCTTACAGTACGTGATTGTTTATTCAAGAGTCTTCTATGAACGTGAATACTGGATCGACTGCGTGACAGAAGTGAGTGTTAATTCAAGGACTGTCTGTATGAGAATTCCCCGTGCATCCGTGAGTGTTAATTCAAGGACTGTCTGTATGAGAATTCCCCGTGCATCCGTGAGTGTTAATTCAAGAACTGTCTGTATGAGAATTCCCCGTGCATCCGTGAGTGTTAATTCAAGGACTGTCTGTATGAGAATTCCCTGTGCATCTGTGAGTGATATCCCGAGGACTGTCAGTGAGAACATCCCATGCTCATCTGAGTGATATCATAGGACTGTCTATGAGAGCATTTAGGAATTCGTGCTTGAGTTCAAGTTTAATGTGTCTGCAATCTTCTGAGTTTTCTACGTTTATTCTTCTGCCCTGGATTTGCTCTGTGTATAAATAAAGCCTGTTGATTAATATTCTGGTCCCCGTGGTTATTGTGACAGAACACCCGGCCACACACTCGAGCAAGTTCCAGTTCAGTCCCAGCTTTAACCGATTCCCCTTCCAGGATGTGTTGGGAACAGATCTCGGCGCTGGCCCAGGAAAGCCGCGATCTTTTTGATTTTACTGTTAAATTTTGTTCTTTGGCCAAGGACTGTGACCTGAGCGATGAGACGATTAAGGCCTGCTACAGGATCGGGGCCGAATACGTCGATCCGCGGCAGCTTCCTGACGTCTTGGGTCTGGACTGGAGGGAGGCTATATCCGTCTGCTGGGATAGTTTTTTCCCTGAATGTACTGTCCTCAACCCAGTCAAGCCTGTTCAACTAATCAGCCCAGTCAAACCCACCGAGCAGGAGTTCAGTATCCGTCCTGGACCAGTCGCGGGGATCACCTGGCCCAGAGCACGTAAGCTGGTTTCAAACAGTGCTGATCTGGCGTCCAAATTGTTCGACCCCCCTTTGATGTCAGTCCGGGGAGCTCTCAGGTATGCTCCACATCCAATCGGCCCAGCTAAATCCGCTCATCTTGTCTGCCCAGCCGAGCCTGCGCCCGTCGTCTGCCCAGCCGAGCCAGCATAAGTCGTCTGCCCTGCCGAGCCAATGCATCTCATCAGTCCTGCAGAGTCCGCTCGTCACATCAGTCTTGTCCAGGCCGTGCCTCGCACCAGACCCAACAAGCCCGCACTTCACGCTAATCCTGTCAAGCCCACAACCCACGTGAGAATAGATGAGCCTGCGCTTTACTTAGCGCCCGTCGAAGCAGAAACCGTGGAGTTAATGGCCGCCTTGCCAGCAACCGTGAAGTTTTTGCCCACTGACTCGGGGTCTGAGAATGTAGTGACCGCCCAATCAGGGGCTGTGAGCACCGAGCCTGCCAAGCACTGTAAGTTCCGAGTTACCCAAGCCACTGGGTCCGCCCAGTTCCGAGTTACCCAAGCCACTGGGTCCGCCCAGTTCCGAGTTACCCAAGCCACTGGGTCCGCCCAGTTCCGAGTTACCCAAGCCACTGGGTCCGCCCAGTTCCGAGTTACCCAAGCCACTGGGTCCGCCCAGTTCAAAGTTACCCAAGCCACTGGGTCCGCCCAGTTCAAAGTTACCCAAGTCGCCGGTTACGTCCAGCTTTGAGCGCCCCAGAACGCTGGCACCGCCCAGCCCCGAATTCCCCAGGACGCTGACTCCGTTCGGCCCAGAACATCCCAATCCGTTAGCTTCGGCCAGCCCTAAGTATCCCAGACCACCAGCTCCATCCAACCCAGAGCTCCCCGAACCCCAGGCCCAATCCGGCCCAGAGCATTACTCGTCTGTGGTCTTGCTCAGCCCAGAGCCTGTGCCACC